CAATGCCTCTAATGGTAATTTTCTGGTCTTTGGAGAAAGTTCCATCTTGCAGCTTTCTGAAGAGACCCAAGTCCTAAAGATGTGTGCATCATGCACCTTTCCTGAGCATCCCACATTGATGTTGGTGAAATGTCCCTTATGATCCACCAGTGCCTACAGCACCATCAAGAAGTACCCTTTGTGTTTTATGTACTCTTTGGCAACATGGGCAGGTGCCAAGATAGAATGCACATCCCTATCTCTCACCCCATCACAGGGAACCCCCTTGCAGCAAAGCCATCCAATGTCCTGCACATTTCCCAGAGTCATTATCCTTTGTAGCACAAGAGTACTGATGGCCTTGGCTGTGTGGAAGGAAACCTGCTTCCACAGCTGCTTGGATCACAGCAGCCACCACTGTAGATTTACCCACTCCAAATTGATTGCCATCTGACCAGGAGCAGTCTGGCATTACAAGCTTCCCCAGGGTTATTGCCACTTGTTTCTCAAATGTCAGAGCAGATGTCATTCTGGTAGTGCTGCACTTCAGGGTGGTGGGGAAAGCAATTCACAAACTTCCATGAAAGTGGTGTTATGAATACAAAAACTTTACATCCACTGATAATGGATAACTGCATAACTATGCAATCCCACTAGTCTGTTTGTCTTGTGGCACCACAACTGGTGTTCCACTATATCAAAAGGATCAACTGCTGCCAGCATTGGCTGATTACTCTACTTGTTTAATAAAATTCTGTGTTCTAGCTTCCTCACATTCTTCCTTACTCCAGCGGCTCCTGACTAGGCTCTGGACGTACCGTAGCATAAGGTGCAATGTGTTTGCAGGGATTACCATAGCACTTTGTAGCTGAATGGGGTCCATGCTTACCCTGCTATGGCCTCTGCACAGATAACCGGGGGCGGGGGGAGGGAAAGGGAGCAGAAATTTTTTTTGCCATTGCTTTCAAGCAGTGGGCGGGGGGAGGAGGGGAGGTGATAAATGCATTGTAGGACACTGATTACATGTACCCAGAACCACCCACTGCACTGTCTTTGTCCCATCAGGCACTGGGAGCGTACCCCAGAATGCAAGAGGGTGGCAGGAACTGTGGACAGCCACCCACAGTGCATAGCTGTCAAAGCAAAGTTGACCGTAGCCACCCCAGTAGAGACGCGTTATGTTGAACTATGTCAAACTTGTGCATGGTGGAGACACGCACCTTCGATTTTACGAAATCAGATGCGAAAAAAAATCAACCTTAATAAATTTGACCTAATCTCATAGTGCAGACAAGGCCTTAAAATAAAATCTTTAGCACTCAGGGTTTGCTACATGGAGAAATCCTTCAACAACAATTCTTCAATAGCAATTGTACATGAGTTCCTGGAGAAAATCCTGTTCTACACTCAAAATATTGTTGCTGTTTAGTTTAATCCACTGGTGCTTTTAATTCACATCCTAGTTTAGGTGACATCTACTCTACAGATAGGATCCACAGAGTAGAGATCGATACACTAGCAGTCAATTAAGCAGGTGTAGTGAAGATTGCTCTCCAATCAACCCATGTACTCACTTTACTCTTCTCATCCAGGGTAAAGTTGATGGAGCACAACTGCAATAATGTGACCTGAGGTAAGTCAACTCCAGCTACATTATTTATGTAACTGGACTTGTATAACTTAGGTCATCTTACTGCAACAGCCTAGACCTGCCCATATTTTGCTGTAGCTTCCATGTATAGACAGGCCTATAGGCACTATAATGATGGGTGCACTGGAAAAGCCCCCCATGGAAGGAGATTAAGGGCTTCCAAAGTGGCAGGACCTTTGGCAACTGCACATGAGATTTCTTGTAGATTCCTTCTCCTCTGTTCCTTTTATGGTATAGAATGACAAAACAATTTTTTAAAGAAATAATACTGCATAGCTCTTATATAATGCTTTTCATCCATAGATCTCAAAGCTTTTTATATATATGCAACCACACTTAAGTTGCAGCCCTCGGCATGTGCTGTATCAGTGTGGCCCCCAGGGCTTCCAAAGTTGAGTAGCCCTGGGTTAAAGGATGCCTAGGGTGGCAGAAAAGATGGGTTCAGTTATATCTCAGCTCATCAGGTTACATTCCAAGCAATGACCATGGGTTATTTCTATTAGGAGTCCAGTAACAAGGGTGGTAATCTCTCATCTAATTGAGAGATCAAAATGTACTTTTTCTGAAAAGTCATGTTTTTTGTAAACAAAATTATTACTTTACACTTTTAAACTGGATAATCAATAAATTAAATATAAAACTGAGATTAACATATCTGTTAAGATGTATTACTTAAGACCTTGATTTTTTTACTTTGAGTTATTTATCTGAATCTGTTCTCTAGCCCCACTATTAAACTTGTCAGAATTTCCATTTAAACCTTTATTTTACATACCATTTGATGAGTTAGGGTTTACATTGTTGATCTTCATACACTTTTTTGCAGTTTAGAGAATCTGCTGATGATATTAAGACATTTTAAAACTAATTGGAAAGTATATAATTCTCCCCCTTATTGCAGTTTCATATGTGTTTACATAAACATGAAAAGAATAAATAGTGTAATTAATGAAAGCTTTTTCCAAATAGAGGAGCTGTAATCATGCAACTTTCTTTCCTTTGTCCTAAGCAAAAGGAAAACAACTGACAGTACTTGATTGTTTTCTGTATACATAGCCTTAACAAAATGTGGTAGTAATCTAAATCTGACATTTTGTATAAAATAGCTACAGTCAGTCTGTATTTTTCAGTGTCTTCCTACATGAGCTATAATAAATCATGTTTGTATAGTAAGGTCATTCATATAAATGATATGCACATGAACCCCTCCCTCCCTGCTAAGTGACATTAGAAGATTTCTGCTGCCACATGGCAGACTACCAAATCACTTTCACCCCACAAGGGTGGAGTATGTAAAAGGCAGAGAGGCAAGAAAGCTGCTCTTGAGAAGAAAAGAGACTCCCTCCCTTTACAAGCCCATTTTGGTTCAAAGAACTCTTAATATAATTTGAGATGTGAATAAAGACAACAAATTCTGCCTTTTGTCTCTGGTACTGCCCCCGGTCCCTATATGCCTCTTTTCCAATTGGTCATATCCAGTCATATACTGCTGTCCTCTGAAAGAGGACTATGGCTGTGGTCACACACAATAAAATCTTCAGATAAGAGGTATGTAACCAGATGATTGCTCCGGAATACTTACAAAATAATCTCTTTTACAAAATTAAGAGACACCTGAGTTCTTAGATAGTATCTGTGTGCTTTTAAATTAGGCAAAATAATGAGTAGAATAGAGGAATAGCATAACTATAGATACAAATAGTCAAGAAAAAGACCTCTTATAAATAATACATCACCCTTAGAGAGAGACCTGATACCAACTCACTAAAACAGGGATGGGGAACCTTTTTTAGGTTGGGGGGCTACTAACCTATAGAAAAATCAGTCTAGGGCTGCACACACGTGAGAAGAAAAAAGAAAAACAAAAAAAAAATCCCACACCTCTTCACTGACTTGGCCTCCAATTAAGGAGAAAAAAAAAACCCTCACAAATGTGGCCCCCAATTGAGAAGCAGGGGGGAAAAAAACCACTCCTCTCATTCCCCTCAAGGTCCCAGCCCTATGGCAGGGTGAGGGGCGAGGTGCTGCAGCTCAAGCCTTATCCCCAGCACTGAATTCTCTCTTCTGTGCGGCTAGGGTAGTAGATTTTGTGGGGCCCCCAGGTTCTGGGATGGAGCCAAAAATGAGGGGCTCAGTGTATGGGAGGGGCTGCTACGGGTAGAGGTTTGGGTTCTGGGTAGGGTGCAAGAGCGGGCTGGGCTGAGGGTGCAAGATCTGGACGGGAGGGATGGGGCAGGAATGGGCCATGGGGGAGATCTGAAAGGAAGGGAGTGTGCAGGAGCAGATAGGGGACTGGAGTCTCCACAGCAGGGGGCAGAGGATTGGAGCATGCACCCGGCGCAGCTGGGTGGGAGGCACAGGTACCTTTGTGCAGCTCTAAGCACTGAAAGGAAGCACTCCCTGCGGACACTGTTTCCTGCCACTCCCATGGACTGTGATTCCCAGTCCATGGGAGTGGC